CCGGGCCCCCACCAGTTCTCACAAGTCTGCTTGGCAGCAGGTGCAGCTCCCCGGCCCGTGGGCAGTGCCTCCGCTCGGCCACCTCCCTGCGGCCCACGCTGCCTGGCATTAGCCGGGCTCTCTAAGCGGTGGCAGCAGCCAGGCAGAACAGGGCCTGGGCCGACACCCCATGTGCCAGTGCCTGCCGGAGGCACCGAGCTCTGCCCCCCGGCACCTCCTGTCCCTGGCTGTGGGCAGAGACCTGCGCGGGCTCATTAAGGCAGCACACGGGGCATCCAGGATCAGGCGGCCTTTGAGGGACTCCAGGGCCAGGCCTAATTGCTGCCCGGGGGCCTGGCTGCAGCTGCTCAGGGCCTGGGCCGACACCCCATGTGCCAGTGCCTGCCGGAGGCACCGAGCTCTGCCCCCCGGCACCTCCTGTCCCTGGCTGTGGGCAGAGACCTGCGCGGGCTCATTAAGGCAGCACACGGGGCATCCAGGATCAGGCGGCCTTTGAGGGACTCCAGGGCCAGGCCTAATTGCTGCCCGGGGGCCTGGCTGCAGCTGCTCATGGTAGGAGGCCGCAGCCCCAGGCAAGGCTCCGGACCGCACCCCCCTCCCTTGTGAAAAAGGCTGATGGGGCCACACCAAGGCACCCAAAGCAGGTGGCCGAAACATCCCCAGCGCTGCTTTGCCAGAAGGGCTGCCAGCAGGAGACCCCGGCCACCGTGCCTGAGGGCTAGACCCGGAGGCCCTGCGCAGCGGCGTGCCAGGTCCTGGGGCCCGGCTGCCCACACCCACCAGGCAGAGGGCAGGGACAGGAGCAGCAGGGAGCGTTCAAATCTCCCTTGTAGCCACTCAGCTGATTTGCAACCAAACCGCTGATCATCTGAGCCCCCCTTCCCTGGCAGCTGCCTGCCCCGCCAGCCCCTAGGCCCTGCCCTGCCCGTGCACGCAGGGCACACGCGGGCAGGCCCCAGGCTACGTGTGGCCCACAGCGCAGCGTCCGTACAGCACCTGCCCACTGAGCTGGCAGCCTGAGCGCGGCTCTCGCTGTGCCCACAAGCAGTGTCAGCCAGAGCAGGCACTTCCTGCCCAGAACAGCGTGTGCCTCGCACTGCGCACGAGGGCCAGCGCACGGCCGTGCACTAGTACAGCCTGTGGCTGCGCCCACGCTGTGGGTCTGCCCAACATGCCAGGTGATCAGCCAAGAACACACCTGCAGCTCTGGGCAGAACCTCCCCTTTCCCGCACAAGGGCTGAGAGAGGGGCTGCCCCCCCGCACGCTCTGCCCTCGCAGTGCAGGGCTCCAGCAGCTCCTCGGTCAGGGAGGGGGAGGTGTTCCCTGCCTGGGCCAGCCCCGGCCCTGCACCACGCCCCCGCTACTGCACCCCTCGCGGCGGGGAGAACAGGCCAGTAACCTCACCCAGTGCGAGTGGTCACTCCACTGGTCCGGGCCCTGGGGCGGGGCTGGGAGGCCGGGCGGGCGCCCAGTGCGCCCGT